TCGTTCGCCTTGATTTCACTTAGACGAACCATAACCCCCACGAGGATCTCTCAACCGACACCTTAACGTGCTAGGAAAATAGGAAAACGACTCCACAAAGAGCTCAAAACTGTTACACTGAACCTCCTGAGTCTAGGAACCTATATAAAGTGCCTAGATTCACCCAAAAAGGTACGTGCACTAAACTTCTAGAGCTCTCTCACTCTTTCAAAGAGCTTCTCAAACACCGACTGACTTAAGCATTAGAGTGCCCTCCCCAGGTAAAAGGCACCTGGGCACTCTCATCTTCCATTCCTTGCAGCACACATCAGCTCGGACACTCAAACATCCGCTCAGTTCTAACAGCTCGGCTAGCCAAGTCAACGTCCAGTCAAAATCCGAATCATAGTACACGAAGGAGCATTCAGATTGCGCGTCATCACATACTTTATCCATTATTCGAAGTTCAAAGCTTTGAAGAGGGGAGAGAAAATGTCAAAGAAACAAAAACAAGATAAAGCTAACCCAAAGGTCCTGGCCATGCTGTCATTGCTCTATAATAATGAAAATGTCTTAATTCTTGAGTCAATTATTTTTTTTGCCTAATAAAGGTTTCAATTCGTTTTTTCAGTATCACATTCCGCAATTTGCATAATAAGTTCAATTTCATTGGCTTGATGTTTCGAGTATTGCTTAGATGTTCTTTTTGTCATTTTGATAATAAAGTAATAAGCTTTAATAAGAAAGGGGACTGCCCAAACTTGGAAGGAGACAGAGTTGCCACTTTCTTTGAAATGATTGTAGGAGAGCGTTTTCCTTTGACCATGAAATTAAAATAAGCCTCAACGGCATAGCTTTGTGAAATAATAATTGTTAATCAAGGGTCCACTGATATAAATGTCTAAGGAAATAGGGGTTATTCTATCAGTTCAAAATAGCAATATCCATTCGCAACCATATCCACAAGTAAATCTATCATTGATAGCTCAAACTAGGGCAGTCATAAGGTTGAAGTCATTGTGGTGGGGTATGCAATCATTTTGATCTGTTTATTGAGCTAGCATAGAATGGAGGCGTCGTATTTACCTAGTGCTTTGCCGATGAATCTAGCAAAAGACTGTAGGCCATAATCAACCGTTTATTCCCTGAATGTCCTGATCATTGATAATATCGCTAATCAGCCTGTTGAGTTTATTTCATTGGACCTTCTTATTTGTTAAACCAAACAAATTCCCAAGATCTCAAAGATTTCATTTTGAGGCCCCAAATTAATCGAATCAAACCCTTTCTAGATTTGCCAAATTTGGGCCCAATTGGGCCAATCAAATCCCACTAATCAACATAGAATGCTCGAAAACCCCACATTGCCAAATTTCAGCCAAACATACCTTCATTTAACTTTTCATCTAAAAAGATTCTATTTTGACCATTCTTGCCAGCCCACACACACAAACCCACTCTCTGTGGTTAGATCCATCTCAACCCTTAACTTTTTTTTGACCTGGAACCACTCATTATTGAACCAGGACCCGGTCTGTCCCCTGAACTCGGTTTGACCTGAGTGCCCAAAATTACAAAAGTGACCCTAAGTTTCCCAAAAATTACGAAACTGCCACTCCCCCTTTATAAAAGCCAATTTGTTATGTTCAAGGGGATCGGTCCTTGTCAATTTCGAAGGGACTGTTCCTCTTCTTCCCCATTCGAACGAAGAAGATAGGCGACGGCGGCAAGCTCTCACTCTGACCTCCTCTATTGACCTCTCTCCTAATCTCCGCTCTTCCCTGCATTCTCCCGGGGATTTTCGGCACTATTCATCGTCATCTACCTCTCGACGAGAACAGAGTAGCGGCGACAAGGATTTCCCCCTATTTCTCAAGATTGCTCACCTTTCCCTCTCCTTTTTTTTTTCTCTCTTCTGACTTATGCTCCGACCATTAGTCTTTTGTCTGTCATTCCCGCCGGCAAGAACGAACGAATCGCAGCAGTGGTGCATTGTTCTCTCTCGTTTGCTCTAGCATAGGCTTAAAGCTTTTTCTTGGCGAAACCGAAGTTGGAAGCCCGTTTTTTTTCATCAAATCTTTCCAGACCAGTCGCAGTCATCATTCTCGCCCAAGGAGAGACATCCTGAAGTTACAACAAGCTCAGGTCTCCCCCTCACATCGACTAGGTTCAGGCCAGAACATAGAAGGTATACCCTACGCTCCACCCTATATTAATTTACTTTTTTTTTTCTTGTTTTCTTTTGTTCTTAACTAATGCGTTGATTTCCTTTCATTCTATTATTGTGGAATAACTGAGATCTAAGAGGGAGGAAGGGGAGCTACCGGAGCTGGTGATGAAGCTCACGCCGAACTAGCTCCTATATGCTCTCAATCTCCCCTAGTCCTGTCGTTGCTTATGTATATATGTTCATTCTCTAGTACTTTTTTTTAAGAAGATGCTTGTGCTTAGAATTTCTGAGAAGGAAATATCTGATTTCTTCACTCTTAGTTTTCTCATGTCTTTTCATCGGGATTCTACTGTGATACTACTCTCCTTCTAATTCCTTTTGTTGGCTTTCACATTGAAGGAGTTCTGATAGGAGGGCTGGGGAAGTTTTGAATCTTAATATATTATTTGCTTTCCTTGTCCTATTGATCTGTTGTTTACTCTATCTCTGTGTTGAGAATTGGTCTCTCTGTGTTGAGGATTGTCTGGTTGGAGGTTTTAAGTGGGAGATAGGGGTGAAGGAAGGAGGCAAGCAAATGGAAGGTCTTGTGGATAAAGTCGCGGTGGTTGTTAGGGAGATAGGAAAGATGGAGGAATGGATGAAGGTTTTGCTTGCGAGCTTAGTGGGAAGGGTGGTAGGGAAGGAGATGGATGCAATGAAGTTTGGTGCATGGGCGAAACTAGAATGGGGAAGAGAGAAGGTGTTAGGGGTGAGGAAACTGAATCCAGAGCTATGGTTGTTCATGTTTAACTTGATGGAATTCGTAGAGGAGGTTTTAAAAGGGTAGAAGATAAAAGAAAGGGCCATAGACATGAGGTTGGACTGGTGGTTTTCAGCGGTTGGGGAGCTAAAGGTAACTTTACCACCCAAGGGTATGTAATTCTTCTTCCATGAGGCCAATCTTTTTTCAAAGAGGGAGACTTGAGTAGGACAAAGGCCAAGAGGAAATGGGGCAATCTAAGCACTTTACAATAGACTCCATAACCCTATCCTCTAGATTAATGCTCACTACATAACTTTTGGTCCAATTGATCTTTGTTCTCACCCTCCTTAAGTCATCCCCTTCACAAAAGATTATTATATCATCAACAAATTGGAGTGGGTAATCGGAAGATTACTCCTACCAATTCTCCAACCCCTAATGGGCTCCTCTTTAGACGACTAAGCACATCAGCTACAACGGTGAAAAGGAAGGGTGATAAAGGGTCACCTTGTCTTAGTCCTCTAGAGGTTGGAAAAAAATCTCTTACAACACCATTAACTAACACTGAATAACGACAAGAGCTTATACACCTAAATATCCAATTACAACACCTTTCTCCAAACCCACCATTTTCAAGTACCTCCACCAGGAAAGTCCAATCCACCAAGTCATAGGCTTTCTCTAAATCTAGCTTGTAAACAAATCCTTGTCGGAGATTCCTCCACACATTCATTACCTATTAGAATTTGGTTAGTTATGTGCTTTCCTTGTATAGAAGCCCCTTGAGCTTGACTAATAGTTGAGGGGAGCACCACTTTGATCCTTCTTGAGAGCACCTTTGCCAGGATTTTGTATAAGCTAATCACCAGACTGATAGGTCTAAAATCCTTAGGGTGTTGAGCTTCACCTTTCTTGGGGATTAGGGTGACAAAAGTGGCATTAACTGCCGAATAACCTTGAAACCATATTCAAACTCCTTGAAAACCTCCATGAGATCATCTTCAATCACCTCCCAACAATCTTGATAAAAAGCCATAGTGAAACCATATGGACCTAGTGCCTTTGATCTATCCATTGAAAAAATTGCTTGTCTTATTTCTTCTTCTTCTTCAAAGCTCCTCTCTGACCAAACATTAAGATCCTCCCCAATCTTGGCCATTCAAACCCTTCCAGATTCTAGGTCCATATGGACCTAGTGCCTTTCATCCTGGGAGGAAACCTCTTCACCACTGACCTCTAATTTACCCACAAAATTCTTCCTCCTCCCATTGGTTAAAGCATGGAAAATTTTTGTTCCCGTCACCTTACTTAAGCTAATTATTCCTTGATTTTTTCCTCCAAGAGATTTCTTATCCCAAGAGGACATCTTCTATGTTTCCATTTCAATTCTCTCTCTTGCACACTCAAGGAATCCTGGTTTTCCTTTCCATCTAGTTCTTCAATTTGAGATATTAGGAGGCCTTTTTGTTTCTCCACTCTCCCGAATTGGACATTGTTCCACTCCTTCAGGTTGGCTCTAAGTCTTTTCAATTTCTTGTGGAATCTAACCCTCTTCCACTTCACTCTTCTCAAATCTTCATTCCACCACTCCTTTATCTCAAAATCCGGGCGAGTTAACCACATATTTTCAAATCTGAGGGGTCTTGGTTCATTCCCAAAGGATTCTTGTCCAAGTTTAGTAGGGTAGTGATCAAAAGTTAACTCTAGGTAGGGCTCTAGCCACTAAATCTCTCAAATGATTCTTCCACCCTTCGTTGAAAAAAAATCTATCCAGCTTAGAGCAGACAAGGTTTTCTTGGAAGTTTGACCAAGTGAAAAAGGTTTGCAATAGGGGAATCTCCTTAAACTCACAAGTATTAATGAACTCAGTAAATTTTTGCATGCTAGTTGTGATAGTCTGATGTGGGTTGTTGGTTTCAAAACAAAATCCGATTACATTAAAATCTCCACCCACACACCAAGGTCCCCCCCACAAGCCTTGTATTCCAAACAATTCCTTCCACATCTTCTTCCAGCAGGTTGCTCCACACGACCAGGGCTCTATGTAGTACCTTCCTTTGCGTACCCAATGGAAGTCTATGAGCTTGTGGGGCTCCATGATCATGACTCCTTCCTTAGTGAAAGCTGGAAGGGTTGCCTGAGTTTTGTGCTCTTGACCCACTTGCTTCTTGAGTTCTATACATGAAAGACGAGGTGGAGTTTGGAAGACACTGGTAGTTCTAGCTTGTAGGCGACTGACCCGACCCTTTCAAGGACTTTGAAGGGTTCATAAAATTTGGGAGCCAATTTCTGCCATGCTCACTTGGCTACTAAGGTCTGCCGGTAGGGTTGAAGCTTCAAGTAAACCATGTTATTAGGTTGGAATTCCAAGGGACGGTGTTTGCAGCCATAGGTATCCTTCATTACCTGTTGAGCCTATTGCAGATTGTTCTTAAGCACTTGCAAGATAAAGTCTCAGCTGGCGAGGTACTCATCTATTGCAACTACTGTTGTGGAGCCTGCCTCGTAGGGGAGAATGGCAGGGGGTCTCTCCCATACAAGGCCTTGAAAAGTGTCATCCCGGTAGTCACATGGAAGGTGGAATTATGCCATAGTTCTACCCAAGGTAACCATTTCAACCACTGTTTTTGGTCTCTACCTCGTGAAGCACGTTGCATCTGTTAACTACCTCTGTCTGCCCATCAGATAGGGGATGATAACTCGTGGAGTGAGGTAGGTGTGTTCCTTGGGTTTGAAAGTACTCCTGCCAGAATCTTCCCATAAATAAAGGATCCCGGTTAGAGACGATGGAGGTTGGTGTTCCATGCAGTTTTGTGATGTCTCTCACGAACAGATCTGCCACCTGTGCTGCTGTAAATGGGTTCGACAAGGTTGAGAAGTGGGCATATTTGCTAAGTCTATCCACTACCACCATGATCACTGTCTTGCCTTGAGAGGGTGGTAAACCGGTGATGAAATCCATGGTGGCGTTGTCCCAGACTTGGTTTGGTATTTTGAGGGGTTGAAGGAGCCCAGTTGGTTGTTGAGTATCATATTTTTGTTGTTGGCAGGTCGGGCAACTAGCCACAAAGATTTGCACGTGCCTTCTAATTCCCCTGCAGTAGTAGTGTGCTGTAATGCGACAATAGGTCCTTAGTACCCTTGAATGACCGCCTTCAACGGAGGAATGGAACAACTGTAGAAGCTCTGTTATGTGTGGAGACGTCGAAGGTAGAACTAGTCTTCCTTTATAGTACAAGAGGGAGTCCCTCACGATGTAGCCCAACGTTTTGGTTGGATCCTTGACCCACTTTCTTTTGATGGCCCCAACTCTTCACTGTTCAATATCTCCTACTTAAGAACCTCCAGTAGTGGGTACAGGGGTCTAGATTCTGCCATCAATTGTAACTCATTTTGCCTTGACAGGGCATCTGCTACCCGATTACAAGCTCCAGTTTTGTATTCTATCAAATAATCAAACCCCAACAACTTAGACACCCACTTTTGTTGTTCTTTCATAAGGAGATGCTGTTTCAGTAGATATTTGAGACTGATAGGACGACACTATCTGGCGCCACTACCAAGAAGGTAGTGGCGCCATTTAAGGACTGATAGGACGACAACCGTTAGCTCCTTAACATAGGTGGATTGGGCCTTGGCGTGAGGGGAGAGAACCTTGTTGAAATAAGCCAGGGGTTTACCCCCCTTGCATCAAAACAACTCCAATGCCAAAGCCGGATGCGTCACATTCTACTACGAAAGGCTGCTCAAAATCTGGTATGACCAATGTGGGCGGAGTGGAAACTGTTGTCTTCGAGGAGTTGAAGGCTTGTTGGGCCTCCGCCGTCTAGTGGAAGGCTTCCTTCCGGAGAAGTTGGGTCAGTGGTGCTGCCATTAGCCCATAGTTCCTGATGAATCTTTTGTAGTACCCAGTTAGGCCTAGGAAGGCCCGCAATTGTCTAACTGAAGTGGGTCGGGCCCAATGCTTTATACTAGCTACCTTCTCAGGACCGGGCTTCACCTCCCCTTCCTCCACGCGACCAAGACAATGTACTCTTCCCTGCCCAAAGACACATTTGGAGAGCTTGGCCGAAAGTTGATTTTGCCTTAGCACATCCAAGGTTAGGTTCAAATGTAGGAGATATTGCTCCCAATCAAAGCTATAGATAAGAATGCCATAAAAGTACTTAAATGAACTTATGAAGATAGGGCCTGAAAATGTCATTCATGAGTGATTGGATGGTTGACGGTGCATTGGACAAACCGAACGGCATGACTAGGAACTTGTAATGGCCATTATGAGTCCTAAAATCCGTTTTATGCACATCGCCACTGTGGACTTAGATCTGATGTTACCTGGACCTGAGGTCCAGTTTACCGGTCCTTAATTGTAATGGAATTCAATGCCCGGTAATCCACGCAAAACTGCCAAGAATCATCCTTTTTCACTAGTATAGCTAGGGAAGAATATGGGTTGTTGCTGGGTTGTATGAAGCCCTTTTGTAGGAGGTCTTGCATTAAGCACTCAATTTCTTGGCATTGATAGTATGGGTACCGGTAGGGCCGGACATTTGCTGGTGCTGCGCCCGGTACGATGGGAATCTGATGGTCCTGAACTCTCTTTGGAGGAAGCCCTTGTTGTTTTTGGAAGACTTTAGGGTACTTAGTCAATACTTCTTGTAGCAATGGATTTGGGCTGCTTATGCCGTCTTCGTTGAGAGTGGGCTTTAGATGTGGGCCAGGAGTGCAAGCCCCTAAGAGCGTCAAGGTGGGCCGATTTAGGTCCCAACTGGTTTTGATTATGGAGTTGAGGGTAGCTAGTTGTGGGACCAGTAGCCTGGACTCCCTTAGAGTTATGGTTCGGTCTCCTCTTTGAAATTCCATGGTCAATTTCGACCAATCACAAACCACCCGTCCCAATTGTTGCAACCACTGTACCCCAAGTATGATGTCGGCCCCACTGAAGGCCAATGTGTACAGATCAATGCAAAAAACCTCCCCTTGGATGATTAGCTCCATGTCTTTATAGACTCCTTCACATGGTATTTGACTTTCGTTGGCAACTTGAGCATTGAATTTAGAGGTGGGTTACCCCCATCTGGATGGCCAAGTCATTTGAATTGAAGTTCATCGTACTCCCACTATCCACCAAAATAGATACCTCCTGACCCTTCAATTGACCCATAATGCGCATGGTTTGGGGTGATGTGAGAATGGTGAGGGCCTGTAAGGAAATCTCGGGCGGGCCAAGCCCGAATATCATATCAAGGCTAGTTGGGTTATTTTCTTCAAGACCCTCCCCCACATGCTCTTCCTCTTCCGGCTCATCTGTTTGTAGCAAGAAAGCTTGTTGGGCCTTGAATCGGTGACTTGGGCCGAATCGTTCATCACAGTTGTAACATAAGCTCTTGCCCCTACGAGCCTGCATCTCAGCCCATGTTAGCTTTTTGTATGGGACATTGGGCTTGAAGCCTTGGGTATCTAGTATAGTGGGTCCCGTAATGGTTGGGGCTGGGCTGGTTCTGTCTTCAGGGCCACGTCGCATTATAGGAGTCTTTAATAGGGGTCCCTGAGGTCGACTCGGTGTTTTTTGAGTCTGCCGAGTTTTTCCTCATAAAGCCTGGCCAGCCCTACAACAGCCACGACTGTCGGAGACTGCATGGATTTCACCTCCACCCGAATATCCTCCTCAACCCTCCAATAAAATTGCCTAACATAGCATTTTCCGGCCACCCCTGTACCCTAGAGGATAGACACTCAACTTCTACCTGATATTCTCTCACTGAACCAATCTGTCTGAATTTAGCAAGTTCTTCATCATAGTTTTTGAATCCAGTGGGTCCAAATCACACATATAGAGCATCGGTGAAATCCGCCCAAGTCACTTGGGGATGTGACTGGCGAAACCACTGGAATCAGAGAATATATTCTCCTTCTAGATGGATAGCAGCGACTGAAATCCTCTGATTCCCCGGTATTTCATGGTACTCGAAGTACCTCTCAGCTCGATAAATCCATGGTACAGGGTCCTCACCTGAGAAGTTTGGTAAGGTGATCTTGGTCTATCGCAACACTCCATTTCCTCCAGATCGGTTGCTTGATTGGCTGGTACCTTCTCCCTCGCCTTCAGTGTTCTCGCTGACAGTTGCCTTCTCCAGCTTGGCCAAGGCCGTTGAGAGAGCCACCTTGATCTCAGTGATGTCTCCCTCCAGTTTCTCAATACGTTCATCACTTATGGATTCTCTCGTTCCCACCATGGTGTCAACCCAAGATTAGGCTCTGATACCACTTGGTAGGGTACTGCCTACCTTGGGAGCTCATGCCTCCTACAGAAGAAAAGAGAAGAGAAGATGATTTTGGTGCTCAGAAAGGTGATTTTCTTTATTGCGGTTCTGATACTTATAGCCCCTTACATCACATGGGGTAAGCTCTCAGTTGTAACTAACTAGCTGACGTGGTCCCCTCACATAGGTCTTCGGGTAAGGCTATATGGGTATCATGCTGCTGGGCCGATTAGTGGTAATGGGCCTAGCTGTGTGCCTATCAGAGGAGTCAGCTGCAACCAAACAAAGAGGAATTCTTTTACTCAACAAAAGATGCCATTATGCTTATTTTACTGATGACCTTCTTAATAGGTTTGTTGTTTCATTTTGAGTAATCTGTTTTGGTTCTTTATTTTTTTTGGATTTTAAAATTCTTTCTATTATTTTCAGTAGAAAAGCTCTAGTGAGGTGCATATGGCTTGTTTTGGTTCCAAGGCCTTACAATCAAGAAGGCCAAAAACACATAATTTGGTCTATAGCAGTGATACAGCTGGGGAGGATCATTTATCTAAGCAGGGTAGAAAAAAGAAGAGCAAGAACAGGAGATTAGGGAAAAGACGATGTGCTTTTAGTGAAGATCAACCTGCAGAAAATCCACCTGGGAAGTTGCCTGACAAAATTGTAAAGGCTCAAACATCGTTGAAGCATCAGAGTGCATCTATGGCACAGAAAATGATTCTCAGGTTCTTTTAATGACAGCTTTTTTCTTCGGTTTAATTTTATGTGTTTCTGCTTTCTTTCACCACCATCCTGAAAGAAAAGAAAATTAAAGAAATTTTGGTTACTAGGACCTTTTTTTTTCTTTTCTTTTGGTCTTGAGCCATTGTATGACCTCCATTAATGTAATAAATCTTTTCAATTTTCTTGCATGACGGTCGTTACAAACATACTTGTCGTTTAAATGAATCCATGTAGGAAACAGGTTGATCCTGAAACAGCAAAATACTTCTCAGAAATTGCAAATCTTTTCGAAGGAACTGGAGTTGACTTGGAGGAACGCTCAGTGATATGTTGCAATGCATTAGAAGAAACTAGAGGAAAGGAATTAGAAATTGCCACTGATTATATTATAAGCCACACTCTGCAAACTCTACTTGAAGGCTGTGAACTTTACCAGCTTTGTGGTTTCCTAGAGAGCTGTGCAAATGAGTTTCCTTTTATTGCTATGGATAAATCTGGCTCTCATGTTGCTGAGACAGCTCTGCGATCCTTAGGGGTACGTCTTCAGGATAGAGAAGCATATTCTATCATTCAGTCAACCTTAACTAAGATATGCCAGGTATCTGAATTTGTTGTTTATCAAGTAAAGGAGATAAGGAATATCTTTTTTATCAACTATAGGGATGGATTACTTTTGCCATTAGTACACATGATTCACATCCAGGGAATGCCACTTTCTGTTGGGTGGGCTTTATTAGGAGAAATGATAAGCTTAAGAAAGGGATGAATCAGATTAACATGACAGATGTTCTGGGAAGAAATCTGTAAATCACATGGTTATGGGTTATAATCATCCTTATAGTTCCTATCCATTGCATGCCTCACATGTGTACTGCTTGGCATTGGCAAAACCATCCTTTATGTATACCTAGTAATTACCATCTCCACTAACCTTGTTTAGGTTTTGTTATTCCATTTTTTTTTTGGGTTCAGGTGGTTGTATTAAATCCTGTCAAGATCATGTGTAGCCCATATGGATCTCATGTTCTTCGGAGTCTTCTTTGTCTCTGTAAAGGAGTACCTTTGGATTCTTCAAGGGAGTTTCATGTTAGAAAGTCATCTAACATTCTAGCTGAGCGGTTGAATCTCAGGGCAACCTGTTTGGTTGGAGATAAACCACCAGATCTTCAAAAGGGTTTTCCAGATCTACTTAAATATCTTGTATCAGAGATGTTAAAATGTGCTAGGGAAGATATTAGAATCCTGCAGGTTGACCAGTATAGCAGCTTCGTTCTGCAGGCATGTATTCTGCTTCTCATTTATCCAATGTTTCTTTTTTTTTTTTGATTTTGCCTTTTAAGGTTTGGGAGCACAATTATACTTTGTTTTTTTATCAACAAATGTAATTAAACTGATTACTGCATTTGATTCCTAATAGCATTGGCCATTCTTGATTGGCATTGTCAGGTAACTTCATTCTGCAGGCATGTATTCTGCTTCTCATATATTCAATTCTTCTTTTTTTATTTTTCCTTTTGAGGTTTGGGAGCATAATTTTTTTGAGAAGAAGGAAAATTTCATTAAAAAAAGAAAAGGATATACAAGATGTATACGAGGAAGATCAAACAAAAAGAAACAAAAAGCCTTCCCTAACCATTAAACAGGAAGCTCTATATTGCTATACAAAAATTCCCTGCCCACCCTAGATTTTGCAAGAGCATCTGCTACTGAATTTAAATTCCTAGGAATTTACCTGAATACACAATGGATTTGGGAGCATAATTATACTGATTACTGCATTTGATTCCTAATAGTGTTATTGGCTATTCTTGATTGGCATGGTCAGGTAATTTCTTTCATATATATATAATAGATGTTGTAAAGATTTTTTTTTTTTGATAAACGAGTAAGATTTTATTAAACCAGCAAATAAAATCTAGCCCCTTTCCACTTCACTCCCCTAATCTCTTCTCTCCACCACTCCTAAACTTTATGCACAAAGTCCGGGTGTGTCAACTACATGTTCTCGAACCTAAAGGGTTTAGGTCCAAGCCCAAATGTCTCTTCACCTAGCTCTATGGGACAGTGATCTGAGATAACTCTGGGCAGAGCTTCAGCCACCAAACCCCTCCAATAATGCTTCCCAACTTTCATTGAAAAGGAATCTGTCTAGTTTTGAACAAGATGGATTCTCCTGGAAATTGGACCAAGTGATGTTGGCCTATAGCATAGGGAACTCCTTTAGATTACAACTGTTGATAAATTCATTGAACCTCCTCATGCTAGTTGTGATAGATTGTTAGGGATTGTTTTACTCATTTAGAAACCTTATTACATTGAAATCTGCACCCAAGCACCAAGGGCCTTCTCATACTCCTTGAATTCCATAGAGCTCTTCTCATAGTTCATTCCACACTTTGTAATTATTTGGCCCATACACATTGGTTAACACCCATGTGAAACCATCCTCCACCATCCAGAACTTTAAGGGATACAGAAAAATTACCTATCAGCTTCTCTAATGGTTCTACCACATCCTCTTTCCAGAGTAATTAATCCCCCTAGAGACTTCCCAAGAGGGAGTTGAGAACCAACTCATTCCTCTTACTTTCCACACGCTTCTAACCCATCTTTTATCTAGATCTTCTAGTTTGGGTTCCTGTATCAATACAATGTCGAGCCTTTCCTTCTTCAACAGATCTTTTATCACCCTCATTTTTTTCGCACTTCTTAGACCCTTCAAATTCCAGCTAGTGATCTTCATCAACTTGGTTGTAGAATGAGACCCTCCACACCATCCTTTTAACTTCACTTTAGAGCCTTCCTCCTCTCCCTCTTCCACTAAATTCCAAGTCTCCTTCTATGTCTGAAATTAGTCTTTCCACCTCGGACCTTTTCTTTTTCTTTTTGCTTTTGTTAATTGTTTCTTTTCCTGACATCATAGATTTACCTCTTCCTTTCTTCGCATGGAAATTGCCCCCTAGGGGGTTTGTTTTTTTTTGGTGTTACCTCTAACAACTCTGCCTGTTTATATTCTTTCAACAAAACACAAATTTGCTCCCAAATTCTCTCCACTTCCTCCACTTGTCTTTTTTATTTTGATAAATAACAAAGGCTTTTATTAAGAGATATTAATATAGAAAAGTACAAAGGGAGGGGTAAAAACTCTTAACCCTCCCAAGAGAACAGTTCAGATTACAAAGTTGCCCAGAACATATTATCTCTTCCCACCCCTTGTTTAGCCAATGAATCTGCCAAGGAATTGGCGCACCTCTTAGTCCACTGAAACTTGACTTCCATATTTTGTATGAGATATCTAGTTTTCTTCTTTTCATTCAGAAACTTCCACAAACTAGAATCATCTTTCATTAACCAGTTGATAGTCAATTTAGAATCACCTTCCACTATCAGGTTTCTGATATTTAACTCTTGAGCTCTTTTTAACCCTTCCATAACAGCCAATATTTCAGCTCTAAGAGAGTCCCCCAAACCAATAGGACCCGATACAATGCGATAATTTGACCTTCATCATTCCTGAAAGCTCCCCTTATACCTGACAGACCTGGATTTCCTTTGCTGCTTCCATCAAAGTTTAATTTAGTGAATCCTGAAGCTGGAGGGGACCAAACTGGGTGAAATACATTCTTTCTTGGAACTGACCAAGCCACTTCTTTCCACTTCCTGATGATATCTTCTTTTGACTAGTTTTCAAAAAGTTGCAAGGTCTTAGCCCACTGAATCACCCTTATGGAAATTAATTCAATAATTATAGCTTTATTTCTTTCTTTCCCATGAAAGGTCTGTTGATTCCTTTCCTCCCAAACAGTCCAACATACAGCTGCTCTTACACATCTCCATAGAATTTTCCCTCTTTTATTCAACCCCCTAACAGTAGTAGAATGGAATAGGCTTTGTACATTTGAGGGGGGGGGGGTCCCCCTGCATCCAAAAAGATAGAAAAACCAACACCAGATTTCTAAAACAAATGGGCAAGAAACTAGTAAGTGATAACAATTCTCACCATTCTTCTTACAAAGGATGCACCAGTGTGGGGATAAACATCGATTAGGCCTTTTTCTTTGAAGTAAGTCGCAAGTGTTACACTTTTCAAGGAAAACTTCCCAACAAAATGCATCAACTCTGGGAGGAATTGGTCTACCCTAGACTTCCAAAACTGGAAAAGGGATTCCAAAGACAGGTGGGGAATGAGCCAAAACTTTGAAGAATGAGGAGCATGAGAAGACACCAGAAGGAGAAGTCGTCCAGATCCTACTTTCCCTCCTAAATGGATCAATAGTCACCCCCTCAAGGACTTTTAGCAGGTCAGCAATGAGGTTCAATTCCAGGTCTCCAAGGGCCCTTCTGAAACTCAAATTCCAATCAATGGATGAACTAGAAGAGGTAAAAAAAGTGGAGATTGGCTCATTTTTAAAACGTGATAGAGAATACAGGGAAGGGAAGAGCTCCTTCAGCGGAGGTTCCTTTTTCTTTTTTTTTTTCTGCAGATTACCTTAAAGCAAGCCCACCATCATTTTTGGTTTTGGTAACTATATCCCATCTGCCCCTTTGATCTTTTTTCTCCTCTCCTAGCTTCCATAAGAAGTATCTCCTTATCTTCTCCAAAATCCCACATATTCTTCCAGGTGTTTTGAACACCTACAAAAAGTACACTGGCAAATTTGCCAATGTAGATTTAATCAGAGTTATTTTGCCTCCCATGGATAGGTAATTTTTCTTCCAAGATGCTAACCTTTTGGTGAATCTCTCAATCACCGGGTTCCAGAAACTCTTTTTACTTGGGTTATCCCCTAGTGGCTGCCCCAAATAGATCAATGACCATTGTGCAATCTCACATCCCAAAGTTCGGACTCTATCCTCCACTTCACTTTCATTTGAATTAATGCCAATCACACAGCTTTTCAAAAAGATTGATCACTTGCTTTAGGTTACTCATCCAACTCACCTCCTCCCCACCACTGAAAAGAATTGTGTCATCGGCAAACTGTAGATGTGTTACTGGGACCCCATTCCTTCCTACCCTCTACATCCTTTCACCAAATTTCTAGAGTTTGCTCTCTCAATGAGTTTTCCTAGTACTTCAACAATTAGAGTGAACAGGAAAGGAGAAAGGACCTCCTTGCCTGATACCCCTGGTAGCCTGGAAATGATCCACCACCCTCCCATTAACTAAAATGGAATAGTGGCAAGTCCTAATACAACCTTTCACCCACTTGCACCATTTTTGCCCAAATCCAAAAGACTCTAAGACTTCTAGTAGAAGTGACCAATCCACCATATCATATGCCTTTTCAAGATCCAATTTGCACACTAACCCTTTCTTCCCACTTCTTTTGAAGTCTTCCACACTTTCGTTTGCAATTAGGATTTGATCCACAATTTGTTTACTTTTCACAAAGGCACCTTGATTTGGGGAAATTATTAAGGGTAGCATCTCTCTAATCTTCCGAGAAAGCACCTTAGCAATGATTTTGTAAAGGCTGTGTACCAGACTAATGGGTCTGAATTCTTTGGGGTGACAGACATCACCCTTTTTTGGGATCAGAACCATGAAGGTGGAATTGAGGCCTGGATTAATCACCCCCTCTTCAAAGAATTCAGAAAACACTTTTTGGATGTCATCCTTCAGAATCTCCTAGTAGTCTTGATAGAAAGCCATCGTAAAACCGTCAGGACTAGGTGCTTTAGATCTATTCATTGAAAATATGGCTACCCTTATTTCTTCCAATTCAAAGCTTCTCTCTAGCCACACCCTTGGCTCTTCCGATAATCTTGGCCACTCCAAACCCTCAATCTGTAATCTGCTAGACATAGGCTTTCTAAAGATTGATTTAAAATGTTCCACAAAGGCCCCTTCAATTTCTTCTTGTTGAGTCAATATTGCATCATTTATCACTAGCTTAGAGATCAAGTTCTTCTTCCTCCAGGTTTTTCCTCAGCTCCCACTTAAGCTCCTTCTCCCTTTCCCCAAACTCACCTTGTTCTTCTTTTGCATCTAACTCCACAATCTGATTCATCAACTGTTGTTTTCTTTCCTCAAGCCTCCCAAATTGAAGAATATTCCATTCTTTGATTTTGATTTTCAACACTTTCAGCTTCCACTGAAATTTCATACCCTCCCACTGAGCCCTTGGATCACTTGCTACCCACCATTCTTTCACTTTCTCCTTAAAACCTGGATGGGATAACCACATGTTCTCGAATTTGAATGGGATAGGCCCACTATTCCTAGGTTCCACCTTATTAATCAAAACTGGCCAATGATCAGAGGTGACTCTAGG